TTTTCTGTTTCATCTAGTCTGCTGTTGAACCTCTTTATTGCATTTTTCAGTTCAGATATTTTATTCCTCAGCTCTGTGACTTCTGTTTGGTACTTTCTTATACTTTTCATCTCTTTGTTGAATGTGTTTACCCATTTTACCCTCCAGTTCAGTGAGCAATCTATCTTTCTAACCATTATTTTGAATTCTTCATCAGGTAAATTACTCATCTCTGTTTCATCATTTTCCCCTCTGGGGTTTAATATCATTCTTTTATTTGGAACACATTTCTGTTTCTTCATTTTGCTTGACTGTGTTGGTTTATATGCAGGGATAAAACAAACACCTCAGTCTTAAAAAAGTGGCCTAATGTAGGAGGTGAAGCATATTGTTCAACTCTGCCCCAGCTCTTGGTTTTCTCTCACCCCTTTGTGCTTGTCTATGTAACCTATTATATTTTTAATAAGTCCTAGCAGTTGAGGATGTGCCAAACCTCTCAGTGTCCCATAGGGGAGAATCTCAGTGCTTAGATTCAGGCTGACTAGGGGCCAGACCCTCAGGCTGCAGCTTTTAATAGTATACTCTTGTGGGACTGGAAAGCATTAGCCCCACGAGTCACCAGACCCAGGCAATCTGGAGGCGTCCTTTGGGCAGGAGTTGCAAAACTAGGGGTCCACACAAGTGTATAAGCTCTTTTGTGGGAGATACTGGTGACTTGAAGCATGGCAGGCAGGGAGTGCTAAGATGGGATCCATTGTCTATGTTCCTTGTGAGCATAGTTTGGTAGGCCACTAGATGTGTGCCAAACCTGAAGCCTGCCCCAGAGGCTGAAGCTTCAGGACAAGAAAAGAAGTGTCTGTTCAAACCCTCTGCCCATTTTATTTAAATTCCAGTTAGTTAATATACAGTGTAATAGTAGTTTCAGGTGTACAATTTAGGGTTTCGAAACTTCCATACAACCAGTGCTCATCCCAAGAAGTGCACTCCTTAAGGCCCATCATGTACTTAGCCCATCCCTCTGCCTACCTCCCCTCTGATAACCATCAGCTTGTTTTCTATAGTTAAGAGTCTTTTTCTTGGTTTGCCTCTCCCTCCTTTTTCCCCTATGCCTGTTTGTTTTGTTTTCTTAAATTCCACATATGAATGAAAGCATATGGTGTTTTGTCTTTCTCTGACTTATTTTGCTTGGCATAACACTCTCTGGCTCTATCCATGTTGTTGCAAATGGCAAGATTTCATTCTTTTCTATGGTTGAGTAATATTCCACTACACACACACACACACCAGGTGATGGACACTTGGGCTGTTTCCATAGTTTGGCTATTGTAGATAATGCTGCTATAAACATTGGGGTGCATGTATCCCTTTGTGTTAGCATTTTTATTTTCTTTGGTAAATAACTAGTATGCAATTGCTGAATTGTAGGGTAGTTCTAATTTTACATTTTTGAGGAATCTCCATACTGTTTTTCAGATCTTTTATTTACATCTTTAACTTGACCCCAAATTGTGATCTACTAGACTACAGCTGAACTGGTAAGTTGAATGATGTGCCAAGTTTTGTTTGTTGTAGTTCATGTAGACAGCTCTGCTAAGGAAACAAGGACTGTTTCTTTCTCTGATGAGACTGATATTTTGCCCCTCATTTAAAAAAAAAAGTCAGGGGGCGCCTGGGTGGCGCAGTTGGTTAAGCGTCCGACTTCAGCCAGGTCACGATCTCGCAGTCCGTGAGTTCGAGCCCCGCGTCAGGCTCTGGGCTGATGGTTCGGAGCCTGGAGCCTGTTTCCGATTCTGTGTCTCCCTCTCTCTCTGCCCCTCCCCCGTTCATGCTCTGTCTCTCTCTGTCCCAAAAATAAATAAAAAACGTTGAAAAAAAAATTAAAAAAAAGTCAGAAATGTCTGTAAATATAAACAATTAAGAGTATGAACACTAGTAAGTTATATAGAGTTCAACACAAAAGTTGTGTTCTTCAACCTCAATAGAAATTGTCATTGTCTAAACAAAATTTTAGATGCTCAAAAGATTTAAAGTAAACTAGAAGCTAAGTTACTTCAGTTTTTTCTCTTGTACTAAATAAATTTTTAAACAAGGTACATTTCAAGTAAATTTACAAAGGTCTTGATTCTTTAATAAGAATAATTTAATTCTTGATATAGGTGAAAACTTGTTTCACTTAGCTAAACAAAAAAGAAGGCATCTGAAATCCTTTAGACAATTCTGAGAAAATTAAAAACATTTTCTTTCCATCTTAATTCTGCTTGACTACATCAAAATGCCTAAAGTATGGGCTTCTAAGCTACTCAAGTCCAAAGGACATCACAGTGTATATAAATGGCATCCCTGATTTTGTGTAGCAAACTGGTTTCTGGCTGTCTGTGACAATCATACATACATTTTGCATATATTCTGATTTTGGCTCTATGCTGAATTTGGTAATATTAATATAAATACGGAAGTTGCTTAGCTTCAAAACATGAATAGATCATCACAGATTACAGGAATTAATTCTGGATTAATACTATCATTTTTTTTTGTGATTTTCAGCATCACTTGGATATTTGAAGCTTTACTTCAACTCAGCATATACTGATGCACACTTTAGTACTGTTTTGCTTAGTTTCTAGAATAAATGGCTGAAGTAGAAGATTAATACCAAATGTTGGATTTCTTTTCCCCATGCCTTCCTTGGTCATTGTTCATATTAAGTAATCAACAAGTTTATGGATTCTACTTAGTTACAAATAACAACCATCCTTCACAAATCTTAGAAATATATGAAATTTAAATCCTGTTACCTTATGAAATAAAAATGATATCAAGAGGAAATGTTCAACTTTTTACTTATATATGCATGGGACTATCACTTTGGTTGAGTCAGGGTACCCGTTCAGGAAACATGTGTGATACTATACCCCAAACAATGCATCTCAAGGCAAGAGACAATATCAAATTCTTTCCAACAGATAACATTTCAAAGCAACTAGAATCCATACACTGTGCAGAATTATGATTAAAATAGTGACCACCAATTTGTCAGAAACCTCCCACTGACTTTGAATAGAAGCCACCTACCTTCTAGAGAGACACATGATTACACTACAGCACAAATACAACTTTGAAATTTTGCCAAATAGTAAAGAATCAGCATCAAAACTTACAGGACAGGTATCTGGTGTTGATGGTTTTGAGGCAATCCAGATAGCATTGTGCTGATGGCACTCTTAGGGCATACGGCTTTACCAATACCTTTGATAGCACAGAACATGGTACTGGGTAGAAGCACATGGATATTAATAACTTTTGGGTTGAAAAGTGTTTCAGAAGAGTTTGAAACTGAATGTAAAGTTTTAGAAAAGTCTTAACTATATGTCAATATGTCACTTTTTCTTCCTTTTATATGTATGTGTGAGAGGATTAAACAATAAAAATCTGTATTTAAGTTCATTTAAAAAGGATTTTCAATAAATAAATATAAAAACTCCAAGGAAAAAAGGAAGCATTGATTCACATTTTTCTTGGTAGTGTTTTCTCTTTAGTGGAACATAAAATAACAGTAATTTTTAATAACTGATGGTACTTTACATTAGGTGAAATACAGTATTAAACATTTAATCAATAACAGACATACAACATCCTCTGAAAGCTCTGCAAGTAAATCAGTAAATGCTAAAGAGTAGCTATCATGTATCTGTATTTCCTCCTTGGGAAGAACCTTAAAAGAAAATAAAACAAAACCCCAAACCAAAATGAAACACATAAAATAGCCTAATAATGGTGGCAGGCAAGCCACTTCTGGTTTACCAGTTATTTTCATATTCACATATTAATATATAAACAAAAGAAGCACAGACTAGTTCGGATTTCAGTTTATTCATGTTAAAACACAAAATTGACAAATCATTTCTCTAATTTTTATCAGACTTTGACATAAAGACTTTTCACGTGCATGCTTATAGCAAAATAGCAGCACATAAGTTGAGATTCCAGTCTATTTTTATTTTCTTGAAGCTGTCTATCATCAGTAAGTTTTCTCATTTTTTTATTTTTCTGCCTCCTTCCTGCTGCTTAACTTTCGGTCAATTATTGCTTCTCAGTATCATCACCAGTACAAGGACAAAAAGTAAGAAAAAGAAAGTAAAATCAGCCCATCTGGTAACTTAATAGTTCTATTAAAGGGGTTAAAAAGAGATTGCAAATAATGCCCCAAATAAACTTTTATGATTATCAATGAATCCCAATTATTCCTACCGTTTTCCACATACAGATATTTGAGTTTTGTGTATGTGTATGCTTTTGTATGGATGGAAATTTAGGAAAATTTTAAGATACAGAAACATATGTCCAAGTTTATAAGGTAAAATACCACATAAACACTTTTAGTTTCACTTTGGCAAGAGCAATAAATGAGATAGATTTTTATCATCAATACTAGAGCTATCTCTATCTAATTACTTATTAATTAAATAATCACAATATTGGGAGCATTGTTTTCATCTGAATTTGTAAGCTATGAATTTGTTTCCAAAAAAGTATTTCAATTCCTACAGTGTTCTTTGAAGACCCTATTGTATGTATACCATTTTTATCAGTTCATCAGAATAGGACTACTATGTTCTACTACTGTACTACTAGTATATGCTATAGTATACTACTATACTAGTACTATGCCAATTAACACGTAGACCTGTACTGAAACCAAAGCCCAAAAAGAAGATGGAAAAAGGTATGTTTAGAAAATCATTTAAAACTTCTTGTGTACTATATGAACACAACAATGCTCCACAAACCCGTTTTTATTAAAAGAAAATTAAAATAGTAATATCAAAAAAACCCTTTTCTGAACTTACAGCCTTGAAATATTCTTTCATCAAAAATGTTTGATTTTGTTATTAATATTATGCTATAGCAATTACGTTAATGTAATTTTCATTAATTCACTTCAGTAAAACAAACAAAAGCCTACAGAAAACTCTTCTATTTGCAATCTTGCTCTATCAAGAAAGATAAGGTATATATAATATTTAAGATGCCTCTAAATCGAACTGTTTTCTATTTAAAGTAATTTCTAGAAAAATTTGCTCCCTATAAGTTATCATGTCTTCTACGTCTTTGTAGATAAGCATTTCTTCAATGGACAACAGTTTATACTTATTCAGGCTGAATGCTGATTTGTTCTGTACAGCATTTAACATTTTTAGGGATGTTGTAACTGAATCACTCAAAGAGGAACAAGCTGGGAAAATACGAGCATTCCACAAACTTAAACATGTCTTGTTTCCAGAGAACAGTTCCTCTGTAACTTTCAGATTCCAAATATTTAGGCATGACAGGAAACAGACTCCAAAGAATTGAAGTAACTTTATATCTGACAATGTTTTAACATTCCTTTTCAAGTTGTCTTGCACTCCAAAAGCCATAGTTGAATACTTCAAGTATCCATTCATCTTCAAGCTTAAGGAACACACAAAAGAATCTGCAGGCAGGACAGCTTCTGTTATGACAGAACAACCACTAACAATGCAGTTTTCCCCAACTGAAACATTAGGCCCCAATCTAGAATACTCCACAACTGAGCCAGTTGCCACAGAACATCCTGAATCCAGTATACTTTGAATGATACAGGATGTGTTACCAGAGCATTTTGGTGTTGTAGAAAAGATGCTAAAAGCTATGGACTGCAAGCCAAGTTCTGACTTCAAACTGCTATCTGAAGTAAAATGAAACAAGTATTCTTCAGTTGTTCCAATGTGATAGAATTTGGATTTATTAAGAACCACAACATTTAATGAGGTTCCTTTCAGAAGATGAAATATTCTCTGCCTGATGTCTGTCAACTCTGCCTCTTCTTTAGTGACATTTGATGTGTTTCTGGTGTACTCCACAGTTGCTCCAGGTCCCAAAGCCTGCAGAAAGTCTCCATAGGCATCAATTTCACAGTTCAATGTGCCTATTTTTTCATAAAAAGCAAGTAATTTTTTTGCTGTTTTATGATCCATGTAAAATAGGCTGTCCGTGTAGACATACTCAGACTCTAATTTAAGAGGGGTAGTGTCACCCCCAGCCATGTCCTGGTGAGAAAAATTTCCAGGTCTACACACAGCATTAAAGTGATGCATCTGTTCTATGCTGGGCTTATGAAGGAAACGATGGCAACACCTGTATTCAAGGTCTTTATATTCTAAATAATTAAAAGGTTCTAAGACAAATACTCCATGTGTGGTACCAACAGTCAAACTAGAAGGATGAGCTAAAGCTGTAAAGCCAGGTTTGTCAAATCTAATAAACTCACATTCTCCAACACTATAAAGTTCAATATCATCTGCACAAGTAACCAGAATCCCAGGTTTCATATGTGAGGGGAAATCAATGTACATGGCTAGTTTTAATTCCAACATCTGATAAATGGGGTTACCGAAAGGTAACGCAGTGAAAATTTTGCCCAGAGCACTTGCATTTGGAAGGCGTTGGCTGTAACCACCTATATAAAATTAAACAAAATAACTGTTGTAAAATGTTTACAAGACTGTAAGATTTTAAAAACCCAGGGGCATCAGTGACAACTCAAAGTATCTCTAAAGATATTTAATGTATATAATGCATTACTGTTACTCAGAAAAGAATAGTAAATTCCAGGTTACAAATTCAAAGAACAATTCTCCTCAAGTGATTTGATATAACACAATTTTAGATTAAGAAAGAATTCTATTATACTTCAGAAGCTGCGAATTGTTTTGAATCAACTGCACAACTAGTAAACAGGACCATGGGCTAAAACATGGTCTTATATCTACATTTCAAACAGTAAATTTCACGACATTTAAACTCCTACATTTGGTACGCACTTCATAGAGGGGAAAAAAGTCACAAAAAAACTAATATACCAATCCAAAATATAATTATTAAACTGTAATTACCAGATGCTGTGTCTTTCCTCAAATTATTACATCCACTCAAAGGAAATAAAGCTGCGTTTACTTACAGCATTTTAAAATGTATATTTGTTTTTCATTTGAACAGGATTTTTCCCTCTAAAATGAGTCTTATGACTTCTTAATTCCTTGAAAAGCATGTTCTCTTAGGTACATTAAATAGCTTACATCATTTTTATGTAACTAATTATAATGAGAGGCAACATTACATAGTAGAGTAGACAAAAATAGGTTCAAACTCTGGTTCACCACTTTTTAATTGCTTATCGTTGGGTTTACTCCAAATCAGCAAATGAAGAGTAATACTTGCTTTATCTTCTTTTATGTAGAGCACTTGGCACAGAGTATGTTGTTCAGCAAATGAGAGTTAATGCTTTCCACTTTTTTCCTTTTCCAAAGATTAGCCAAAACTTAAGTTTAGAATTGTAAGAATTACCTCTTTCTAACTATGTATTTTGAGTGTCTAACTTAATTTTTATTAATTGGTAATCATATTGGTTCCAGAATAAAGCTATATATTTGAATTTTTCTACTTTTTTAGAGTTAGTCTTAAAATCAGAACGTGGATGCTTTACTTGGTATTATCTTTACAAAGAATCATTGTTCTGTATATAAACTATAAGAAATGAAAAATGCCTTGGAAGTCATATAGATGAGTAGTTCTAAAATATCTGTTCCTGGACTGGTGCCAGTCCATAATAAAGTTTTCACCAGCCCCCAGTAGAGAAGAGTGGAGGTTTTCATGTAACCAAGATTTTCATACAACTACATTTACTGAATTAAAAAAAAAAAAAATCTTTATTCTGAGATTATTTATTTCCTATTTTTCTGCCTTATAATGTTTTCTTTTGTGTGTGACTCTTCCTCTTACATACTTTTTTGTCATCTCCATGTGTTGTCACCACTTTTTCTTTTCTTTTTAAATTCTTTTAAGCATTAAAGACTTTTGCCACCAATAATCAGATAAAAATGCATGATAGAAGGTTTTGGTAAAGTCTGGAAATCACAGTGCTAAACCAGCCTCTCCCCTACAACAATTCCTTTTAAAGCATTACTGAGAAATGTTCATATTTTGATGACTTCTATCTTCGGTAAATAATTTTCTATATACATTCCAAAAGATAAATTTGTCAAAAAACATTATGCTGCTTATAACTTTAAAATAATCAAGAAAAACATGAAATATTTATTTTCAAAGAAGAGTAACTTCAAAGACAAAAATTTAAAAAAAGGAAAGTATTTGCAAGGTAGAAAAAAGTCCCTAAGACATCAAAGGTAAGATGTAAATTGGAAAAAAGAAAATGTGTAACTTTACCAGAATGAATTAATAGGATGGTAAAAGAATTCCATTTATCTCCATATAACTTTTCCAAACATCGAAGGGCACAAAGTGTGGATCCTCCATTTCCTTAAAAATGAAAGTAAAACCACAACTTATTTCTTAGAAACCTGCTGAAAATTTGTTATTATGGTAAGGTTTGGTGTTATAACTTTGAGGATATGGCCTTTGGCTATAATTAAGTAGGCAGAGAGCAAAGGTAGAGGCAAAAGAATCAAGTTAAATACACATTTTACAGCATTTAAATAAATAAACAATTGGAAATGAAACCCAGAGATCAGCACTTGGTAATAAATGATGAGATTATAATCTTCTCTTGAAAACAGTAATTAAAACAAAGGAAAAATGATAAATTAGGCAATCTGAAACAGTGGAATACTCTAAGTATACACATTCATTTGGAGTTACAAACTGAAAAACCCATTAAAATAATTCCCCCCCACATGACATAACCAAAGATTTGAGTTAGATGTCCTTTCTAAAAAGTTTCTTAGAGGAGCACCTGGGTGGTTCAGTCGGTTGAGTGTCAGACTCTTGACCTTGGCTCAGGTCATAATGGCTCAGGACATGATCTCAAGGGTCCTGAGTTCGAGCCCCACCCCAGGGGCTGCCCTGGTATCAGGGATCCTGCTTGGGATTCTGTCCCTCTCTCTCTCTGCCCCTCCCCTGCTCATGGTCTCTAAATAAATAAATAAACAAACAAACAAACAAACAAACTCAAAAAAAATTTTCTTAGAACCTGGTGTCCTAAAATACATCTTAAACATAACTACACTTACTAGTTACCTTGTGCAGGTTATTTAACATTCTGTGCCTCAGATTCCCATCTATAAAATGGGAATTATTAAAGTACTGACTGCACCATTGTGAGGATTAAAACACTGGTTAATTAGAACAATGCTGGTATCAGATATAAATATCCCATATGGTATCAGGGGCTTTAGTTTTAAGTATCACATGGAAAATAGCCTCCAGAAAAATAGCACATATTTTCTTGCAATGAAGGTCAAAAGGCATAGCTGACTTAAACTGGGTTTTGAAAGTAGTATCTATGATATTAGGCCATTATATTATATATACACACACACACACACACACACACACACACACATATGTGTATACACATATGTGTGTGTGTGTATACATGTGTGTGTATATATATATGTGTGTGTGTGTGTATATATATATATATATTATATATAATGGCCTAATATCATAGATACTACTTTCAAAACCCAGTTTAAGTCAGCTATGCCTTATGTGTATATACACACATATATGTGTGTATATATGTGTGTGTATATAGTGCTGATTTGCAACCTTCATGTAAATCTCTGAACAAACTATGGAGTTAGGAGGGAACTTAAGAACCCTACTGATAAAGTCCAAAAGAATATTTAACATTAATTTTAAAATTTTATTAAAATAAATTTTGTTTTAATTTTATTAAAACAAATAATATTCTTTTCTTAATAACATTCTGCAAGTTTTTCATGGTAAGTCACAATGTGTAAACAGTTACTATGCCTTTTTCTTAAAAAATAGTAAATTTACATTAAATTTTTTTTTTTTTTTAATTTTTTTTTTCAACATTTATTTATTTTTGCGACAGAGAGAGACAGAGCATGAACGGGGGAGGGGCAGAGAGAGAGGGAGACACAGAATCGGAAACAGGCTCCAGGCTCTGAGCCATCAGCCCAGAGCCTGACGCGGGGCTCGAACTCCCGGACCGCGAGATCGTGACCTGGCTGAAGTCGGACGCTTAACCGACTGCGCCACCCAGGCGCCCCTACATTAAATTTTTAAAGCCTGGAAAGACTATGGGTAGAAAGATATAGGGCTCATCAACTGTGAGCCATAGGAAAGCTTTTCTTCAGCAATCATTGTGTTCAGAACCTATGATATAAATCTGATTATATATAGCATACCTATTTTGGCTCCAGCAGGGTCAACAAAAACATGATACTGGACTCCAAGGGGTAACTCCTTTTTTTTCAGCTTTTCTGAGAGCTGTTGCTTATAAGCAAGTTCCTGTTTTTCATCAGCTGCTGTTATTGCAACAATGTCCCAGAATTCTCCAGCTGCCACAGGTTTGCCTGTGTGAAAAAGCAAGGAAATGAGTATCAGAAATCTCTAGCTGTTACAAATTTGCCTATTAGAAAGAAAAATGAAAAACTATCTTCATACACTTAACTTCTTTTCAGAATTACGGAATAATTAGTGGCTAGCTAGTTTGATTCAAACTATTTCTACTGAAGATTGTTCACAAATTTTGCATTTTCCCCTTTTAGATTACTTGCTCCTTTCATGGTCTACAGTCCATTTATTTAAATATTCTGAAAGTTGCTATGTTTCTTGATTAAGAGAAGTATTCTTGCCTTGCTAAAAATTACCTCAATTCTTAAGTAAGAAGAGGAGACAAAAAGAATAAACGGGGGTGCTTAGATGGCTCAGTCAGCTATGCCTCGGATTCTTTATCTCGGCTCAGGTCATGATCTCAAGGTTCATGGGATCAACCCCCAGTCAGGCTGTATACTGTCAATGCGGGGCCTGCTTGGGATTCTCTCTCTCCTTCTCTTTCTTTCCCTCCCCTGCTCGTGCTCTCTTCCCCAAATAAATAAAACTTAAAAAAAAAAATGAATAAATGAATCTCCAGCTGTGAAAAGCAATTTTCACATATTAGGACCACTTAGTGTTTGTTGGCTGAGTAAGATTCAACCCAAGGATCTATTCCTACAATGTTACTGTTTATAAATTCAGGTACTTTATTTTTTATTACCTGAAGATGAGCCATGCAAGTTTACAAAGGCTTTGAAGTATGACCTAAAATTCTGCATAACAGAAAAGTTCCCAAGTCCCTGATGCACTCATTTAAAAACAGACTAAACTGACGCTCTTTATTGGTAAAAAAAGACGAATAAAGATTTTAATTGGGGCGCCTGGGTGGCTCAGTCGGTTAAGCGTCTGACTTCGGCTCAGGTCATGATCTCACAGTCTGTGAGTTCGAGCCCTGCGTCAGGCTCTGTGCTGACAGCTCAGAGCCTGGAGCCCATTTCAGATTCTGTGTCTCCCTCTCTTTCTGCCCCTCCCCTGTTCATACTCTGTATCTCTCTGTCTCAAAAATAAATAAACATTAAAAAAAAAAATTAAAAAAAAAAAGATTTTAATTAGTTAACAGTTTTTGTCAGCCAGAATCTATTATTCCTACATATTTTATTATTTATATTTTTAATGCAGAAACTTCACCAAAAATGACTAATTTTATTAGATAGTTGTATAAGGAATGACAAATAGCACAGTCTTTAAAAAATTTTATTTGATACAAATTTCCCCTTTTAAATTTTGACCCATAATTCTTCCATGTCCTGATTTTTACTCAGTATGCATTCATAGCATGTAACAAATTGGTGAAGTAGGCAAGGGGATTGGAGAAGGCTAAAATAATATTTGTAATGGTCAAATACTGAGCTTTAGACAGTTTAGATTTATCTAAAGTAACTTTTGTTAATAGGCTAACCAAATGTGTAACTTGGATTGATAGCCTCACTAGTCAGAATAATTTTCTTTCTTCTCCTTTGTTTTGATATATACATGTTACTAAGAATAAAGTAAAAAAAAAAAGTAACAACATGACGCAAAGAAAGGGCAGTGACAGAAGAAAAAAATCAAGCCGAGTTATTAGCTATAAAGCCGAAGGTGAGCAGACCGGAAGTGATAGTCCAGCAAATTTCCCGGCACGTAAAGTTCCCTCCATGTCCACTGCCGCGGAAAGCTGGGGTTCCCCCTTTGCTACCTCTCAGTTCTGAAAACCTCTGCAATTTTCGCTGGGTGGCTTCTCGCAGAGCTACGCCTAAGAGCGCGTTTGCAGCAGCCATAGCAAAACTTCCCCCGAGACCAGCTGAAGCCTTCCAGGTATCCTCCGGCTGGCGCAGCACGCATGCGCCTCAGGATGTAACCCGTTCCTGGGTCCGGTTTGCCTCTATTCCGCCCCTTACGTGCGTCACTCACGTAACCACGCCCCCAGAGCGGTGGCCTGCCGGGAGAAAATCCTGGGGGTCAGAGTGCAAAGCCTTGCCGTGTTTCCCTAGCAACGGTCTCTGGAGCAGATGGCCACCTAGTGATTTGTCGGACTGTGCCGGGTCTGGGCCTCTTGTTCCCAACTCATAAGGCTTTGCAGCCCTGTTGACCCGGTGAGTTATTCGGGTTGAGTGATAAAATTGCTAGAACTGACCCGCTGAGAAGACAAAAGTACAACCTAGCTTCCAGCTTTCCTTCGAAAGGTGGTTCGTCCTTTCAACTCGTGATTTGTTTCAGATTTGTTTTAGCGGGGAGCAGTTCCCAAAGACGTCTTTATAGTTAATTCCTCCCTCAGGGTTGTTATCTGAAACAATCTGCACCAAATCCAGATCCAGATGTACAGTCTCAACATTCAAGATCTATATTCTCTTAAGGAACCTTAGGTTTGTGGCTTCTTTGCCCTTGTGTTTCTTAGTAAGTGAGACTCTCCAACCCTCTCAGTTTTGAGTTCACTTCATAGGCTTTTGTCCATTGTATAAAATTCAGTCTGCAACAGGTCTCTTAACATTCGTGGTTTTGGTTGCTTCAGCTGTCATTCTGTTGTATATGCGGATTGATCAAGAACTTTAAATAACATTACTGGGAATAAGTCAGACTTACTAGATGCATTTTGGTAGATACCTGTAAGTATTTCTTTTGTAAAGCACAAGTTTATAATGAGTTTTACAGATGAACCTATTCATGCTTACATACAACAATTTTAAGAAACAGAGAGGCCAATAGTCAAGGGCTCACGATCAGTAGAAGAGGAGATTTAAGCACGCTACTTGAATCCCAAACCCAGAACTCATCTACCACATCATGCAGTTTGATTTATTTCAGAAACCTGTCTTCCTAAAGCCTTCATCAGTAACACAGGTGGGCATTCAAGGCCCTATAAGTTCTTGCCATGAACTTAACTTAGTTTTTTTTTTTTTTTTTTTTTTTTTTTTTTTTTTCCTAAAGGCTTCGCTCTGCATTTAATTCTGTACTTAAGGTACATTTCAGTAAAAATGGAGATTACTCTTTCATAGTTTCGCCGTTTAGAAGTTTTGTGTTGTTAATAAAAACAAAACATTAAGAACATTTATATGATACGACTTGAGTGAGGTGAGAGTGAACAAAAGGGAGTGAGTGATAAAGATCAGAGAGGTGAAAAACCCCTAAAGAAGGGATTTTGTTTTATACTGTATACAACGAAGCCATTGCAGAGTTTTTATGTGACTTGCCTTATGTCTAAAAAGATCACTCAGAAATGTGAAAATAGACATGGTGGAGGGTAGGGCAAGGATAGAGTTGGTGAAGGCTTGGCAACGATGGTAACAGTAGGGATGCTGAGAAATTGATTACATTCTGGACATATTTTTGAAGGCACAACCAATACAATTTGCTAATGATATGGTTGTGGAATGTTAGAGAATGAGAGGGGTCAAGACTGACCACCTCAAGGATAGAACAGCTATCAGTTGAGATGGGAAAGACTGCGGATGGGGAGTGTTGGTGGAGTAGTGGGGAGAGTCCAGAGTTTGCTTTTAGACATGTAGACTATATAGATATATGTGTATGTCACGCATATGTAATGAAAGTTTGTGTGTGTATGTGTCTGTAGGCATTACACATATGAGTCCAGGGTTCATAAGAGAGGTCTGGGCTGGAGAGAGAATTTTTTGAGTCCTCAGAGTTAGAGACAGTGTGAGGCTATGTGCCTGTGATTCTGCAGTTCACAGACCTCTCCAGAGGGATAACTTTAAGGTTGGGTTAGAGTTAATGGAATTAATTTTAAACTACTGAACTAGATGAGATCCTAGGGGAAGAAAGGTGAAGTTCAAGGATTGTGCATAGTAACAAGGTAAACAATGAAAATGTGACCAAATAAGAAAATTTTGGATAGTGAGAAGTGTGAAGGGACTAGAACAGGCTGATGTAATAGACTGTATTACATAGACTATTAAATACAGCATTCTTGGGACCTGGAAAGGATGGCCATAGAAATCAATATTATTTTTTCCTGATATGATTACATTATTCATATAAAATGTGTTGGAAGTAAATATACCACCTTATCAACTATGGTTTTTGTTCTTCCCTCTTTTTTTTTCTCAACTGTTCATTAATATTAATTTTTAAGTAAAAATGAAAAAATATTGAATACCATATTAGTGGGAGTAATTTCGTTGGAAGTAGATTTTGGGGGGTAAAAATATCTAGGGATTTAAGTTTATGTTTAATATAATCAAACAGTGTGATATGGTTGTTTAAATAGTCATAAGGTACGGTAACCACAATAAAATATGCTAACACAGCTAAGTAGTAAACCCATTAATTCTTTATAAGTAAAACACATTGGAAATGACATATTTAATCATGGATTCCACATTTTGAAAGGGATGTCAGACAAACTGAACTATATAATAGTTGAAAAATGGTATTTTGTGGAGACATTTGGGCTTTTTTTGTGTGGGAGGAGAGTAGAGAGTATCTGAAGAAGTACCGTAAAGAAGAGTGAGATAGATTTTTAAAAGAATTTTACTGAGGCATAATTTATATGACATTAACTTAACCTGTTGTAAGTGAACAATTTAATGATTTTTAGTAAGTTTACTGCGCTGTGCAACTGTCACCCCAATAAGATGCTTATGCTTGTTTAGAGTTAATTCCAGTCAGGTTGTTCCTATTACTATGGGCATAACTATGACTGTTGTGTGGAAGTTGTAGAGAAGAATATTAATTTTGTTTCCAAACATTTTTTTTTCCTTCACAAGAAGAAACTGGAACTAAATGAAGAGGGTTCTAGATTGTGCACCACGATTCTCTTGGTGCATGGTTTGATCAGTTCACGCTAGGGCTCTGATCTTTTCCATTCCTTGTGTTTCATCTCTCTGCACAACCACTGTTCCTCCTCCTACTCTTTCTGACATGCAGTATAAGCAAAAATATCTTTTTACTCTTCCATTTATTTGAATTTATTTATTTGGCTAGCGTGTTCTAGCCAAATAAAGTATTTTTTTCCCACTGTATCCTGTTGAAGGAACCCTCACGTTTCTCACCTTTCTGGAGGACCAAGGAAAAAATTTTATCCCCCAAACTTCTATTTGACATCCTCCTTTATTATTTTTTTAAGACTTTATTTTTTAGAGCAGTTTTAGTTTCACAGAAAAATTGAGAAGAAAATTCAGAGATTTCCAATATACTCCCACATAATTCACATGTGCATAGCCTACCCTGTCATTAACATCCCCCCACCAGAATGGTACATTTGTTACAGTTGATGAATTTATATTGACATGTCATAATCACCCAAAGTCCATAATTTACCTTACATTTCACTCTTGGTGTATATTCTATGGGTTTGGACAAAGTATGATGACATGTGTTCATCATTATAATATTCAGAATTGTTTCACTGTCTAAAAATCTGTGTTCTGCCTAGTCATCCACCCCGTGAACTCTGCCACCACTAATCTTTTTACTGTCTCCATGGTTCTGCTTTTTCCATAATGCCATATAGTTGTAATCCTATACTACATAGCCTTTTCATACTGATGTCTTTCACTTAGTAGTGTGCATTTAAGGTACACTATGTCTTTTCATTCTTGATAACCATTTCTTTTTAGTGCTGAGTAATAGTCCATTATCTGGATGTGCCACACTTTATCCTTTCAACTACTGAAGGACATCTTGGTTGTTCCCAAATTTTTGCAATTGTGAATAAAGCTGTTATGAACATTCATATGGCAAAAGATAAATACCAAGAAGTGCAATTACTGGATCTTATGATAAGAGTATATTTAGTCTTATAAGATACGGCCAAACTGTCTTCCAAAGTTGCTATACTGTTTTGCATTCCTACCAGCAATGAATGACAGTTTCTATTGCTACACATCTTTGCCAGCAGTTTGTGGTGTCAGTGTTCAGGTTTTGGCCATTCTAATAGGTGTGTAATGTTATTTCATTGTTGTTTTAATATGCATTTCCCTGATGACATGTGAGGAGGAACAGCTTTCATGTACTTATTTGACATCTGTATATCTTTTTTGGTGAAGTATCTATTAAGGTCTTTGGCCCATTTTTAAAATCTGGTTGTTTATTTCCCTTATTGTTTAGTTTTAAGTGTTCTTTATATATTTTATTTTTTTTTTTTTAATTTTTTTTTTTTCAACGTTTATTTATTTTTGGGACAGAGAGAGACAGAGCATGAACGGGGGAGGGGCAGAGAGAGAGGGAGACACAGAATCGGAAACAGGCTCCAGGCTCTGAGCCATCAGCCCAGAGCCCGACGCGGGGCTCGAACTCCCGGACCGCGAGATCGTGACCTGGCTGAAGTCGGACGCTTAACCGACTGCGCCACCCAGGCGCCCCAAGTGTTCTTTATATATTTTAAATAAAAATCCTTTATCAGATGTATCGTTTGCAAATATTTTCTCCCATTGTGTAGCTTGTTTTCTTATTCATTTGACATTACTGTTTGCAAATTATGTCTTTAATTAATTTTTTTATTTAAAGGAAATAATTTTTCATTAAGTTTTTAACTTTAATTCCAGTATAGTTAACATACAGTGTTATATTGGTCTCAGGTGTACAATGTAGGGACTCAACAATTCTCTACATTACTCAGTGCTCATTGGTCTAAGTGTACTCTTTAATCCCCATCACCTACTTCAACCATCTCCCTGCCCACCTCCCTCTGGTAACCATCAGTTTGTTCTCTTAGAGTCTGTTTCTTGTTTTTTATCTCTCTGTGTCTTTAATTTTAATGAAGTATAGGTTATAAAATATTTCTTTCATGGATTATGATTTTGGTGGTGTATCTAAAAGGTCA